ATCAAATCGTGTATTTTTTACTATTATTCATCAATGATTTTTAAACCATTATATTTTTCATTATTTATGATTAGATTTGAAACACATATCTTAAAAAGATTGATTGGAATTATTTTACATCGATTCAGAATAAAACCTAAAAATTCAATTTTTTATAGTTTTTCTTAATAGGTCTTAATTTAATCAAAATTATTAACAAAGATGATGTCTTCCAAATTATATAGATTTCCATTTAGATGAACCTAATATTAAATATATTTTAAGTCATCATTTTCTTCTAAAATATTTACACTTATGTCTAATTAATTTATAATCATAAAAATAATCTGATTTATATTAACTTTAAATATTTCTTAAGAACAAGCCTTTTAATCATTATTAATGCATGTAATATAATAGGAATTAAGATGAATTATCACTATTTCAGATCTCAATTAAAAACGAAAAAGAACAATAGTAAAAATAAAAGAAATGAATAATAAAATAAATAAAAAATAAAAAAAAGCTCCGCGTCCGGGAATTGAACCCGGGCCTCAAACGTGACAGGCTTGAATACTAACCACTATACTAACGCGGATTCTTAGCATCTATCCATCAATCTTATAAATAAATCCCAGAAACTGTGAACCTTATTATGATCAGCTTTTCCTCTTTTTTATAGATTGTTTTTTTAATATTTCACTTAAATATTTATAAGTAAGGTTAACATTATCATTCACACCATTATTTTTCTAACTATTCATTAAATGCTGGATTTATTTCTTAAGTGGTTTGATTAAATATGTAATTTAGTTTGCAAATTTGTAAGAAACTTTAGAATAGGAACAATATAATGATATAGTATAGTTTTTTTAATCATCAAAATGCTCACTTTAAAAAAAATGAATTTCAAATCCTGTCCTCAACTCCAAGTCTACATTTTTCAAATAAAATAGAATATATAAGAGATAATTAATTACAACTAAGAAACAGAGTTCAATAAGTATAGCATTAGTTTGTTATGAATTATGGAGTTTTTGAGATTAAATTTATTTATTAACAAACGAAAATAATATAGTGTAATAACATTTTGTTTATATTTTAATGGATATTCATTTTACTCAATGTTTGTTGTGGTTTTGTTATTCTTAAGTTTCATATATTTGTTATATAATTTTATTGTTTATAAGAATTTAGTGTAATAAACTCATTATATTGTGCAATCATAATTTTAAGGTATTCTAATATCACCACTTACTTTATTTTCTTAGACAATTGATTCCAATGATGGGTTTCTCCTTTCAACAACCAACTCTATTTCATTTGATTTAATCACATTATTTTATATTTTTCCATGACTTTTATCTCTGATAAATAATCCAATTCCATCATTATCATTGATATTATTTTCAATAATTTCAGGCCTGCTATCCTTTAGTATCATGATGCCATTACTTTTATTTTTCTATATATTATTAAGCTTTATAACAGGGACTGCCGTTATACAAACAATACCATCATTCTATTTAATACGATAAATTAATACATTTTCAGCGATAGTGTTTCTAAATATCCAACATTTACCGCATTCAATTAAGAAAATACCTTCGCATCTGCCTCCAAGAATTTTATTCTCAACAATGAAGGTATCCACCGAATTTGCTCCTCCCAAGGCTATGTTTGCTTTAATATTGTCTGTGATTTCATTTTTTTCTATGACAGCAGATGAAGTTTCAACCAATAAAACTCCTTAACCCAAGTTTTTTGAGATTTTATTTTTAAATATAGAAATGCGTGACTCTGTATCTGCTTTGATTCCTGCTTTTTTATTATATCCTATAAATGTATTGGATTCAATTCTTGTGTAATTATTCTATCCAGTGCAATGTATACCATTTTCTTTATTTCCAGAAATAGTCTAATTTGATTTGATCTTACCATCACATCTTAATTATTCAAAAACCTTAGTCAAAATTCCGTCAGTAAAATTCTTATCAATTTTGTTATTAAAAATTTAGGGATCTGCAGATAATACTTCAATTCCAACAATATTTGTTTTAATTTCGTTGCCAAAGATTTTAGCCTTATTTCCAATACCTACTTTAATACCTGGACCTTCATTGTTTTCAATTCTACACAATTCTATCTGTGGAATAGCATCCGCACCTACTACATGAATACCAACTTTCTTATTTTAAATGATTTTGCTATTCATTATTCGAACACTTTTATTTGTAGTTGCTTACTGGATCAGAATCCCCCCATATGTGTGATTATGCACCTTACTATCCTTAATGATTAGATCTCCCAATTTGAGCAATATACCAATTGTTTTAGCATCTTAGTTTTTGGATGAAGTTCCCTTTATCTCACATCTAATAAACAAGGCCTCTGCACCTGTGTTAATTGCAATTCCTGGTAATATGCCTTTAAACGATTTAACAATAAAACTAAATTAGAAAATTAATTACTTACTTTAAAGCAATTAAACAATCTTCCATAAATAATTTACCTCCATTGAGTAAAACAACGCAATTCATGCTTGTATCAATAAGCACTTTATTTACAAATTCTTCATCTGGATTTGATTCTATTCCAGCTGCACCATCCTCGTGGCCTCCAAATAAATGTTTTGCAATTTCCTGTCCTTCTATGAGTTTCTCTAATTCTTCCACTTCTTCACTTGTGCCACTGTGAGACATTTTTAATCCAATTAAAGTGCAACGCTCATCTTTTTACAAATCCACTAATATCGTAGGTTTCGAGGATACAACAATAATGATATCACCAGTTTTATCTTTAGGCTCTAAACGCAGGCCAGGCTTGTTTATCAATATGTTTGAGGAATAAAGGCCTGGTGCAATTTTAATGACTGTATTAGGTTCAGCCTTATCAATAGCTTCTTAAATAGTTTTGTATGGCCCACTTTCTGAATCCACAATCAATTATTATTTTAAAACTCCCTTTATAGCATTGTCTTAGTGATTCATTCAATATATATTAATATTTTAAGACTAAATAATTATATTTTGAAATTTGAATATTGTTTGTTCTCTATATACTAATGAGATTGCAACTTTAATCATTCAAATTCCAATACAATAAAACTAATTTCAATAGATTGGCTATTAGGGTGACACACAAATGTCTCAAATCCAATGTTTTTTATATGAATTAAATATAAACCATTATTTTTCAAATAGAGATCAAATTAAGATTAGTTAGCAATCCTAGCCTTTTCAAATCGTATTTCAAAGTGTTCTAATTATTCTATGAGAATTAATTCACGAAAATATTATTAATAAAATTTGTTAACGGAAACAAAACACAATGCTTGTTAATTAATCATCTAAAGTTAATAAAGAAAACCAAAACCCACTATTGATTGTTAATTAATAAGAATAACTCAAGTTGAATGGGATATTGCCTAAAAATCATTTTAACCAAGGAATCACAAATAGATTTTAAAGCACTGTTTCTTGTTATTAACAATCATTAACAAAGTGCACTAGTTCAAGATCGTTATAAGAATAAATCGAAAGAATTGCTAAAAAACTCAAATAAAAATAAGAAAAAGAAATTGTTCAACACCCTATAGATTTAAATAAATATTCCATTGATGAAATGGTTGACATTCTTAAAAATGACAAACTATTACACATTAGATCCTTACAACTTTAACCCAGCTCCAACAAGAACAAATAAAAAAGTCCCAAGAATATCTTTCCTCCCTTATAGTTAAAATAGAATTTTCAGAGCTTCGAAACTACTAAAAGCTCAGAAAATGAGACCATCAATCACAAATTAGACATGAAATCTCATTACACTCAATTGTCGAAACCAAAAACAATTTAAAAAACTGAAAGTCGAGAAAGCATTAGACCTACTGAAGATTTAAGGAAAAAGAGAACTGTCTCCTAGGTTATTGAGCCTCCTACAAAAACTCTAACGAAAAAAGAAAGAATATAAAAAGCTTTACAAAATTCACAAAGAATTGTATAATTATGTAATTAGTTTAATAAAAATAATATATCAAATGAAGAGTTGCGTGAATTAATTAAAACTGAAGGTTTTAAATTGCAATTCGAATGTTTAGTTTAATTTAGTGATAATAGCTAAGATTGCAGAACTCAATTATAAAACTTTATGAATTAATAAATTAAGAAATACACAGAATTAAGAAATGCTGAATTAGAGCATTAACGTAATTATTTTAATTATTGATTATAGTTAAAAAAGAGAATTTCAATTAAGTGCTTGAAAATTGTGTAAACAAATTAAAATCTAAATTTTGATTAAATACTGAGATATATCCTATAATTTCAATTTATTATTTATTAAAATATTATATTAAATTTACTGGCATTTATGTATTGGAAATCTAATTTCAAAGTAAAAGCTTAAAATCATTACAATTTATTTTAATATTTCTTATTCTAACTAAGAATAATTTAAATTAAATAAAATTAGTTAAAAAATGATCACTCGTTATTAGGTTATTTTTAATTTATAAATGATAAACTTGGCATTTATGTTAGATGTCTTAATCTAGAACCAATTCAATAATATTTGATATAGAGGATATTTACATAACTTTTGAGAAGTAATAATTTAATATAAATTTTAAATCTCATTTTTCAATACATCGATATTATTTAATTTCATATAAGTTTTTTTTATTCAAATTGATTGAATTATGGATCTCTTACTCGTGTTAACTACGAATAGAAATTAGAAACCTATTCATCTGATAAAATAATCATCCTTTAAATTGAGTACTTTGGCTTTTTCGAAACTATTTATATATGTTAAGCTGATTCACAATATAAATTTTTGTTTTGGAAATCAAATATAAATTATTTGATTATTTTCCCTATAGGAAGTAAAATTTGGTATAATCAGTCAATAAATTACTGAAAATTTCATTATCGACATGACATATAATCTTGAAATTCTTGCAAATACAGAATTCAAGATAAGCATAAATGATTGATTTAAACAAATTAAACATATAAAAAACATCAAATTTATTCAGTTATGGAAACACTTAATCTTTTGAGAATGAGTGGAGATCTAATGAATGAGAAGGAACATCTATTGCTCGTGGAGCAAGAAAGATTGTCTTATGCCTCATTATCAGAGTCTAATGAGCGTAAAGAAAAAATCTGTTTTTTCTTCAAGTTTTCGTATATAAATTATTTCAACTGTGGATCAGTTAATTATTCCAACTTCAATTCATCACAGAGATATTTGAGAATGCCTGACTCAACTTAATTAATAGCCTATTCGTAAGTTCCATTTTCCCTCGTATCATTCATTATAATTAATAAATTAATAATTATTTTTTCTCGATTTCTTCTCATTATAAATGAAGCAGATGAATTAGAATCCAAATAAATTAAAGTTCATTTAATAATCTCAAATCTTTTGTCAAATACGCATTAAATCAAAGTTAAATAATATAAAATGAGTTAAAATTTTAATAGCTAATATTAATTATAAATGTAAAAACGCTGATTAAATTTATATTAAATGCAATTTTTACATCATTTATTAATGAATAAATACTAATTTCGAATGACTAGCTCAAGTTCAGAACAAACATAAAATATTTACCTTACCTCACTGAATCACTTTATCATTTAAAGCAATAATAATTTGACTCAACATATTTCTCTAAGAATTTACGTTATAGTTTTACTCAATGTAATAATAAATTGTGTCTAAGTAGAGAATTCATCCACTACAATTCCTAATTACCTTTGATTGAGAAGATAATAATCGAAAATGCAAAGAAATGAATAAATTTGAAGTGCAAAATTGTATTAATTCATTTCAGCATTGTATTGATATTTTATTATATTTTTTTTAAGAAGTTAGATAGCAGGTACAATTTACTAGTATCAACATCATAAAGTCATAAGTCCAAACAAAAAATCACTGATGTTTATTATAATGTTTATATAAAATAAACCAAAAATACTTTAAATTCAATTTGCTTAATAAATTAATAATTATGATTCCAATTATTTTCATGGATTTAAAAATTTCTCTGATTTATTATTGAAATATTTATTGTATACAGTATGGGTTTAAAATAAAATGAGAAGTATAAGGGGTATGTTATCATTTCAAGATGAGATAGCAGAATGAAATAATTAAATAAATAAAAATAAAAAAAAGCTCCGCGTCCGGGAATTGAACCCGGGCCTCAAACGTGACAGGCTTGAATACTAACCACTATACTAACGCGGATTCTTAGCATCTCTCCATCAATCTCATAAATAAATCCTAGAACATATATTTTCATAAGATCCAATAATTCAATTATTATTATTAATCATATAAATTATATATATGAATTTAAATATCAATATCAATAGTCCTTTAATTGAAGAATTCAAAAGCATATTAAATTAAACAGATCCAATCTATGACCATCTTGATTATGAATAAATTCAAATAATAACAAACGAAAAGTATTCGTTGATAATAGTGACAATTAATTCTCACGAATCTTAAGATCAAAGAATTGAAATGGCTGAATAATTAGTCGATCATTAAAGGATGATTAATTAAAGGTTAAGAAACCTTGGTTTAAATGGGATTTTGGTGGATATTATCAAGCACGAGATTATAAGTAAAGATGATTAAGTATATATAATCTGCAAAACAATGAGACTGTCAAAATAGAAAGGTCAAGTGAATTTAGGTCTAGCCAATTGCATTGAATTTTATACAGGTTTAGAGCTGAAGGGGGTTCGCCCATAAATAGTAATGCACATTGAGGATTTGGGTATGAATAAAATAATACCCTTCACTTTTCTGGGGAGTATTTTAAATGAAGACAATTATGAATATTAAGCCTAAGTGGAATCAAATGGTTAATTGGATTAGAATTCCAATGGTGTTCACTCTTAAAATTAATCTGCGATAGTAATTATATACAATGAACAACTTGTTTAATTCAAATAATTGAGTGAGATGAAAGATATTCATATTTTAAAGTATTTGGAATTAACTTCTGGTGTAAAAATAAGTGATGTTCTAAAGAAAAGCAGTACAAGTGTTGTGAATGATAGAATTCATTACCTAAACTAAGATGGGGAAACGTTTGGAATTGGTGATGTTGGAGAGAGAGGAAATGTAGAATTGAATATTAAGATTAAATAATAATGCTATGTATTCACAGCAGAGTGGAATCACCTGAAAGAGTTGATTGTAATTTATTTATGATTAATGAGAATTAAAGAATAGATGGATAGTCTTTTGAGTAACTTCCGAATAATTTGTTTACTCCTATAGATAATGCTATCTTGAGACATTTCAACCATTATGAGTTTGATTAAAGAGGGTATTCATTAATAATAATTGTCTAAGTTCTTTAATATTTATAAATTGCACTCATAAAGGGGATGTGAAAAACAAAGTTATAATAATAAATAAATAGATTAAAAGATAAGTTTGGTTCATTGCATTGAAAACTCTACTTACAATTCTGTAAATCAATATATATAATGCTATTTATTAAGATTAGAAATTGTATCTAAGGACCTTATGCAAATTAAATCAAAAGATTCCAATTCTGCAAGTAGAAATACAAGCTGATCTGAAGGAAGAAGACTTTAATCTAATTTTGGATTAGTGCAATTTGAATCCTCATTTAGAATCATTCATTCTTGATGGTTCCACGTTTAAAGATGCAATTCTTTCTGGTCTAATTTAAGGAAACAATCTTAAAAGCATTAAAGAATTAAGTTTTAAGGGATGCCCAAATATTACTGATGAAGGCATTTCTCTATTATAAAATTTTGGAGTCTAAAAATTGGATTTATCTTACACTTAAATATACCTATCAATACCACAACATTTATAGATTTTAAATATTTCTTATAGCAGATTCAAAGAAGAAACATTGTTGCAATTATTTAGAGATAAATCATTAGTGAATCTAATATCCATAAACATTAGTGGATTAGCATCGGATAAGCTTATTTAAGTAATTTTTAGTTGTCATTACAAAGAACTGAGAGTTTTAATTGCTAATGAATGTAAGTTATCCTTGTCTGTATTTCATCACATTCATGATTCTAAACATGTGAAATAGTTGGATCTATTGAGTTTTCAAGGATCAATCACAGATGTTGAGGAGAGCATCTTTAAAAAAAATGGATATGCATTGTTGGGAGCAAGCAAAACTAAAATTAACAAGTTGGATCTAGCCAATTGCTATATAAACGATAAATTGATTTAATCCATGGTTGAAGCTGGGAAATTACTGAAAAACCTTAGAGCAATATCCTTATCTGGATGTAGATATATATCTGATAAATCAATATATGTATTGTGTGATGCTCATTATACATCAACAAGTCAATTAAAAAGCTTAGACATCTCTAATTTACCATAAATAACCGAATCCTCATTGGAATACTTAACAAATAAACCTCTGAAGAATTTATCAGATTTGAATCTGGCCTATTCTACTTAAATTTAAGCAGAACACCTGAAAAAGGCTTTTGATACAGGAAAATTTAACCAATTAAAATACCTAGGAATTAGTGGAACAAGTGAAAGTGGAGGATAAGCAGATATATTCAAATTTAGTATACCAGAATTGTGCACATATTATATCAGAAATCACTTATCTGAAATTTAACTAATAGAAATTTATACATCAACAAAACATATTTAAAATATTTCAACAGCTGTCTTAAATTTGTTGCAAACTTAAATTCTCACAAAGATAGTTACTCCAGATTAAATTATTTTAGAACCAGAAACGCATGATTTGTTTAAGAGTAGTTTGGGATGTGAAAGATTACTTCTCAATAACAAACCACTTTAATTAGACAATTAAGATAAATTTGGATAATTAGACTAACTAACAGCAAATCAATTTTATGAGAAATTACTCAAATAGCATCAGAATGTAATTATTAATAATACAGAAATTAAATATATAAGATTAATGTACAATTTTTAGACAATTAAGAAAATTTGTTTTAAAAAAACTGAAATACTTGATAAAGATATCTTAGGCATTTGTTAGAATCTGACTTTATAGGAAATCAATATCAAAAACTGCAAAAAACTAACTTTTAAAAGTTTGATTTACCTATAAAAGATTTCAGACACTTTGATTAATATAGATTTTAGAGGAACTATATTTGAAAATTTATATGGAACATTAAAATAACTACAATACTTTCCTTAGCTTCTGTACTTAAATGGGGGAAAATTAAATATTCAAATGTATTCTTATTAATATTAAAATTAGTATAAATATAAATGAAACAAATCATGTCATACAAGAATTAAAACACTTACCCTCATTATGGATGCAATTAGAATAAATTAGATCCTTTAAATTAAAAATACGAGCTCATTATATTTAAACCTTTAAATTTATCTTTAAAACTCTTTCTTTAATACTCAATAAAAATTAGGATCTAATTGCATAAATGTCTTTGCAACTATATCAGTTTAAAGTCATATAAGACAAATCACTTTAGTTGTTTCATAACAGTTTATTAAATTTAAGATTTCTGTAGCATTTTCATCTTGGATTTTAAAGGTTTTATATTGATTGTATATTTGTAGCATGAAAAATATCTCACTTTTAACATTAAAAAACATGATTATAAGTCTATCTAGTTTAGACTCTTTGAAATCACTTTCCATCAGTTTGGATGAGTAAGAAATCTGTTGATAATTTAGTTGTGAATTATAATTTGTAGATGAAGATCTATTTTTGGCATCCACTATATTTGAAGGAATAAGAAATATGAAATTATAAAATTTCAGTTTCTCATCCAATGACACAGTCACATATGATCAATCAATCTTTTCTAGTCTATTTAAATTTATGTCTGAGAATGACACCTTAAAATAAATTAGTCTGAGTTTTCAAAGGTAAATAGTTTTTGTATAACATTCAGACATGCAATAAGCAGGGAAAACTTATCAGAACTATTCTAAACCTTAAAAGAATTGAATTTGTAAAGGTTAAGCTTAAACTTTGAATAAAGTGAAGTTAAATACACAAGACAAATCTGGGCAGAATTATTGGAGGTCCTGAGAATGAATTATAGTTTATTGCATCTAGAGCTCAATTTTAATCACACATTTGAGTTGACAGATATGGACATTCTAAATATTATAGATGAACTATATTGCATGAAATTGACTACATCATGTGTGTCATTGATAGGGTATTTTGGATTTTATTTTCTAGTTGCTATCATAATGAGAAGAGTATAAAAGAATTCACAAACGAAGATGTTAAAAATTATTAATTTTTTATATGATCAAAAATAATCATAAAGTCTTATTTTTATTTATTAAGAAATTATAAATTTTAAATTTGTATTTAAGAGTTGCAAATAATTCTGAAAATTGAAGAGGGAGGAAAAAACAATGAGACAGATGTTGATAGACCTGAATTATTAATCATTTAGCTTATTTTATATGTTCTTCATTCCAATATTTCTAAGTTTTTGGGTCAGCATGATTTGTAACCATAGTTGGCTATCCTGGTTTCCATTGTGCAGGACAGACTTCTCCATGTTCATCTGTAAATTTAAATGCTTACACTAATCTATTGTAATTTCAATAATTGCATACCTTAAGACTTCGTCTACATTCCTACCCACAGGTAAATCATTAATGGAAAAATGCCTGAGGACTCCTTTTCCATCGATTATGAATGTCCCTCTGAAAGCAACACCAAAATCTGGATCTTCAGAATCATCTATTATAACTCCATATTTTTTAGAGATTTCCTTGTATAGAGATTGACAATTACCTAGCTTAAATCTGAAATCAGAGGAAATTACATTTCACCCAATCCTCCATTATTACGTGTTTATTTACAATATTTCATATGAGAAAATTAAGAGTCTACAGAGACACCCAAAATATCACACCCTATAGCTTTGAATTCCTAGTATAACCACATTAATATACCTCGACTCGATCAGAAAACTGGATTATTTCTGTTGGGCATACAAATGTAAAATCCAAAGGATAGAAGAATAGAACAACATATCTATTTTTATAATCACTTAGAGATATCTAAATTTATGGATTTGTGTACTCTCTTAAACTATTTATTAAAGTAGGCTGATGCTGTAAATTGAGGTGCTTACTTACGCACTTTCATAAATTATATTATAAATAATAATTCATTCTTTTAGTTACTATTAACTTTATTGATTGAAAAATTAATGAGAATTAATATAAACTTCCATTTATATCTATTTATAATAAGATCTTATATAAAATTGTATTTAGACTCTATTTTAAGAACAATAAATCTAATCTCTTAAGTTTTTGAATGAAATCTAAACCCTTTTCATATTAAAGTTATTTAAGATCTACAATTTATTATTTTTTATATCTGAGTAGACTTCAATTCCATTAAGATAATATAAATATTGAAATAAAATTAACTTTAATCAGAAGGAAAATAAAAATTTAATAAAATATCTAATTTATCAAAAATATTATTTTTCTATAGTAAAACATTATATTACCCTTGGATATTAAACATATTGATGGTAATAGTATTTATTATTACAAATCATATAATGTATCACCACTTGATTTCAATTAAAAAAAGTTAACATTTTATATTAATAATAATGGAAAGAATTTTATTTGAATACTCAAGTAAAATTATATGGCCAGAGTATAATTATACAAAAATACTGATTGAATTTTCAGTCTTATACATATTGTATTCAATATACAAGGTGAGTGTTAGGAAGTATATAAATCATAAAGCCTATACAAAAATGACTAGAATTGAAAAAATTAGTAATGAGGAGAATGTTAAGAAACCCAAATAAAGTACTTAGGAAAAATAGGAGAAATAATAGAAATAAGGAAAGAGAAAGAATTCTGAAAAGGAGTAGTAATAATAAAAAGATGTCTAAAAACAACAAAATAAATAGGAGAGCTAACAGTAAAAATAAGAGAATCATCCTCATATATCATATAAGGAATTGTTGAAATAGGAGAAGCATAACAAGTCATTGTAAAATAAAGAAAAATAGAAATCAACTGGCAAAAGTAAATGATAATTATTATTTTAGTTACTCATCCACTGTATTTATCTTCTGTAAAAGGATTCTCTGATTACATAACCGATTTTGCATACAATAATCGATATTTGATAGCAACAGGATTTGATAATAGTATCAAATTATTTGAGATGGAACAATTTTTCAAGAATCCAGATTAACCTAAGTATTTATTCCACACTTTAAATGACACACATGCAACAGCAATCTGTATATCTAAAAAAGAGGAGATCGCTTATTTTTCAGCAAACAACCAATTATTCAATTTAGAATTCTACCCGAAAGCAGAGGATAAATAATATTTCAAGGTAATTCCTAAAACTAAGAATTGCCATAAAAGTGATATTAATAGTTTACATGTTGATGAAAATGATAAAATTCTAATTTCTACAAGTTCAGACACTCACATTAAGGTTTGGAATATGAAGGGTGAACTATTGAAGGAAATAAACACATCATATGGTGAACATTACAGTTCTTGTTTTATGAAGGGGTTTTTGGTAGTGAGTTCTTGGAGTGTGGACACAAGTATCTATGAGATTAAGTTCAATAAGGATCACACATTTAGGACTCTTGAAAAAGAAGAAGTCTTAAGAGGTGAGAAGACTAGTGTGTTGGATGCAAGTCTAAATGAACATGGGACTCTAGCCACTTTGTGTAATAAATCATAGTGCAGAGTGTATAGATTGAACACTGAGAGAAAGATTAAGGAGGATGCTAGGTTATTAACTAAGGTTGAACATCAAAATATCAGTGCAGCTGCTGTAAATGAAAACATTCTAGTAGTGGCTGCTGATGGAAACGTCCATGTTTATGACAGAAATGTATGGATATCATATAATCTTAGTTCTAATAAATTGATTAAATCGATAATGCTGCCAATGGTGCGTATATAAAGAGAGTGAGAATTCATGAGTTGCATTCTAGTCTAAAGAACAAGAATTTCTATGTTTGCTTTGTGTGGGGACAAGAGGAGGAAAGAATCAATGTCTATAATTTTACCAAGTATCATGAATGATCAATATATATTAATATAAATATGAAAGCAGAAACTTTTATTAGAGGAGTGAACAATAATGGATTCTAAAAACGAATTCAGGTATTATTATTAATATACAAAAATGAAAGCATCTATTGCATGCATACTGATTCTCACTGTGGCTGCAGCTGATTTCGAATCATTCTAACAAGCCTTAGAGTTTGATCCATAGACATTGTCAGGGGACAATTGTGGAAATGATGATCAATTCACATAATAATATGAGGCGTATCTCTTATTCATATGTTCAGGTTCTTGCCTTGGATTTAATTGCTCGAAGAAGGTGAAATTGAAATGCAAGAAGATCACAGTGTACTTACTTAGGCTAGAGATAAAATTAAATTAGTCAGAGAATATATTTAAGATTTGGATGAAGGTAATGTAATCAACTGAATTTAGAACTCGAGTAAGAGAAAACTAATAATAATAACAATGTTGTTGAATAACCCACACAATAACCTACATAACAACCAACTTCATAATCTGAACCATAACCAGTTTAACCAGCATAAGATGTTTAAGATGTTTAAGAAGATGATGAAGAAGAAGAGAATGATGATCCATTTGGCTGGGGAGCTGGTGAAATCCCATAACATTTATTGGTTGATAGCAAGAAAAAACATAATAAAAATCTTAAGGGACATGCTAAGGTGTTGTTGGAAGTTATGAATAAGAGCAAATCCCTCAAATATAAGAGCGTATTCATTAATAACTATCATAGAAAATCAAGAGAATTGTTGCTATGGCTACTTCATTGGATACTGATATGGGAACATAAGATTTATAAGAAAGAAAGAAACGTAAGTTAGAACTTTGCGATTTGATCTTGGATGAATTAATCAACATGATTGAATTCTTAGAAAAAGTTATGAATGACTATGTACTCTATATTAAACTATCTGTAGTAATATCAATAAGAAGCTTATGATATTTTCAAAAAGAAATAAGAGGAAATAGTAGAAGTGGCAAATGGATGTGGAGCAAGAGTGATCTCACTTCAGGATACTTATTCAACAAGCTTTGTTTAGACTCAACCATTAAAGAGAAACAAGAAGTAAAATAAAGAACAAAAGAGAAAAAGAAAGCATTGAATGATAAATAAATGATACATCTTCATTTGCCTTAAGTGATCCAATATTACTCATATTTCTGGTACTTCTCTGTGTTCCTTCTCAAAATATCTTCCAACGGCCCCAACATTCTTTTAAAACTATGTCGATCTAAATATATTAATTTCACTTCGGTCTATTAAATAGTATTCAAATTACTTCAGCAATTACATTAGCTTATCTTGGTACATCCTTAAGTAAGGCTAATTCTCCGAAATAATCGCCTTCCTTATATTAAAATACTTTGACTGGATCTTGCCCTTGAACTAAAGTCTTGGTTGCAATCAAATTGCCCTCTTCAATCATATAAAAGATATCTCCTTATTCACCCTCCCTAATAACATATTCTCCCTTTTAAAAATAAGCACTCTTGATAGCATCAGCAACATGCGACCTTTCATATGGATCCATCATGGAGAGTAACTCAATTTATTTCAAAACATTCACATATTTTTCTCTTTTTCTATGATTGAAATATAAATTTGTATACCTCATAGCTGCATCTTTAACAATATGATTGAAGGTTTGTCTATCCAATGCAAATAGAACACTATTAGTTTTACTTTGAATAGATGCTGCCCTGGGAGCATTGTAAAGCAAAGCCAACTCTCCAAATGACTCTCCAGGGTAATACACTTTTAAGAATTTGTTCTCGCCATCCTTAGTGAATCTCTTAAAGCAATTTAATTCTCCTTGATCAACAACGTATAAATTATCTCCATTATCTCCTTGTTTGATTACCCAATCATCTACACTAGATAATGAGATAACCAATCTTCATACTTATAATTTCGTTCTTCCATTGCATCAATTACGATATCTTTTTCTCTGCTATCTAGAGATGCAAACATAAATGATTATGACAATCTTTTGCTTATGATCTCTTTCTATTATTGGGACTTGACTATCACTCGAGGTTGAAATGACTGAAATATTATTTATATTTATACACCTCTTTTCTGTTGTACTATCCATATGCTTCAGCAGAAATTGAAGCTCTCTATTTACGAGCTGCAGCAGGTCTTTTTTGTAATTCAACTATTTCTTCATCTGAAGACGAGGACTTGGCACTCGGTTTCTGTTTTGATTTGACTATTTCCCTGCCTTTCTTATCTAACCATGCAATTGACCAATCAATCTCAATAATATCAATGAGCTTACCACATTCATTGGCTATTGAGCTAAAATGTCTTCCATTAGTCTCTATAATAAGAAAACCACATTCTCTTAGGCGTATTACTTTGCCTTATCTGACTATTAATTCATTTATTGGATAATTATTTAATCACAATTTTTCCTTTACTTTCTTTTTTATGGAATTGTATAAGAAAATTTTATTTATAAAAATGCAAAGCGAGGATATCGATTGGTAGAAAGTAGTCTCGACTACTACAAGGATTGATCAATAAATAAAGAATATCAAAATGAGATTACAATCAGCTCTTACTCAACTCATTATATAATCAGAGGAATAAAATAAAATTGCTAATCCAGATCCAATCATACAGAAATCAAACCCTCCCTTAATAATACCCCACAATAGCAGATCAATAGAGAAGAAGGACAAACCTGCCTTAAGACAATGTGCATCTAAATCCCCTATTCGCACTCCAGATACTGCAGAATGTCCATCTCCGATTTCCACATTTTCAAATAATTCAACTCTCAGAATGCAAATAAAATAAGCAGAACTCCTCAGTCCCAAATATTAAAATATATCTGACAGATTTCACATTGGAAAGTTCTTGGGCAAAGGGAAATTCAGTGATGTCTTTTAAGCATAGTATATCTTTAAACTAAGATAGAGAGAAGACGTCAAAAGTTTTAGTTGCTCTCAAAGTCATCCAGAAAACTGTAATTAGTAAGTATAAAATGGAAGCTCAATTGGCGCATGAAATCAAAATTCAAAGCTACTTGAGTCATCCTAACATCTTAAAACTTTATGGAGTATTCTAAGAATAAACTAAAGTACTTGTGCTTAAATTACACTTAGATTGTTTTGATACTTGAATACGCACCAGATGGAGAACTATATAAATTATTAAAAAAACAGCCAAATCGTAGATTCACTGAGAATAAAGCCGGAAATTACATTGCTTAAATTGTTGAAGGCATTTCATACATGCACAAAATGAAAGTTATCCATAGAGATATTAAACCTGAAAACATTTTAATTAGTCTAGTATCTAAATTTCTTATTCAATTTTAGTAATTCTTAAAAATTGCAGATTTTGGTTTAGCAACTTATTCACCTGAATCAAAACCAAGGTAATCCTTCTGTGGAACTATAGATTATATGTGTCCAGAAATAGCTTCAGGATAGGATTATGATCATTCTGTTGATTTGTGGTCCATCGGAATTTTGGCATATGAATTAACCACTGGAACTACTCCATTTTATTAATCATCCAAAGAAGATACAATGAGAAAAATTATAGAAGGCAGGGTTGACTTTCCAAAATATGTCTCAAATGAATTATAGGATTTTACTAAATGTTGTTTGAGAAAAGATCCATAACAAAGACTCAGATTAGAGTAAATGGCTATACACAAATGGATATAAATGAATCATTAGGCAGGTGGTTAATATGATAGAATGTTAGTTCAATCTTTAGTGACAATTTTGAAATGATTGTAAATATTATCATATTGTTATTTTAAATAGAAATTAACTAACAATTTATCACTAAACCATTAAATTTGTTTATACAAAAGATATTGAATATCTCAATTTAGACTTTGTTGTTGTTGTTATAATATTTAGATGATTTCTTTGCATAGATTAATCGATTTGAGTTGCTACTTAAAACATAATATTCAGTTTGGGTCTATAATTTTCTAGGTTGGAAAATATTAATAATAGTAGATTTTCAGTTTACTTAGAACAACTGAGTGGATACATATACTTAAAAATGATAATTTAATCCTATAAAATATTGGCTTATTTTTTTTAACTCAAATTTCTTTGCAATGATGACAATAAAGTCATTATGTTAAAAGTGGTATTTTTATTGTTTCATTCGATTAATTTTATTTTATTCTAAGAAAATTATTATACATTATTTATTGATATATCATTCTTTTTTTTATTTATTAGAATGGCTTATTCAATAATATCAAGAAGATGAGTAATATTTATTAAAATGCATAATTAGATTGGAGTGCAACAGACGGTGTATTTATGTTCTTCCAATGATAGTTATTTTCTGAGAACTTTAAAACATACTTTTAGCCACACAAAGTATTATCAATTCAGATAGTATTCAGGTATTTGAAGATCATTAGATTTATTATGCTTTTTCTGTCTCATTTTCTTTAACTTCCTCTGATGACTCTAAATTATAATTTTGAAAATTAATTTGTTAATATTGCAGTTCTTTTATAGGAATATGATTAGATTATGATTATGAGTTAATCATATAAATTTAATAATTTTCATATTTCTATTTCTTTTACTTTTGGTTTCTTGTAGAATCGTAGTTGAGCATTCGATTCAGGAGGATAAAATGGAGCTTATTTACCGTAATTCTTTGGTAATGGTGCTCCGATGTTATCATCTGGAATGTATTGCTGAACTCTTTGTTTAGCCATGGTCTTACAAGAAAATGGTTCGAACATTTTCTCCTATTATTCCTTTTCTAATCTTTATCGTCTAACAATAAATAAATAATTAACCTATCTTCTAAATATCTTATTTAAGCCTTTTATTATCTTAAATACTCATCCTCATGTTCAGGCAGAGGAGGTAAGCTTTTGTCCAATCTCTGTCTTGCATCTTATACAACATTTTCTAATTCATCCTTTTCTTATTGTAATTTAATTGCTGTTGCTTAATACATTGATAATTCAGCTATAGTGGCCATCATTTTCCTAGTTAAATCTTTTAATTTGGCTTAAAATTCATTCACTTTCTCTGATAATTCAAGTGTTGACAATCGTCCATCCAAAGCTTATTTTCTTAGTTTTTCTGATAAATTAGTAATTTCATCTAGAATTAATTCCTTTTCTAGTAACTGTTCTTTTTTATTATTCAATCTTTCCTCTAAAACATGTATTTTTGCATCCAAGGCCTCTTAATCTGGATCCTCACCACCTAACTCTCTAAATCTTTATTGATTATTTGGATTTTCCAGTTCTTCAGAAAGTTATGACTCTTTCTTTTTTTCTAATTCTAATTCATCCTTAAGTTAAATAACCTTTGATGATAATTGAGGTATTTATAGGATATCCTTTCTTGCTACATCTATTTTTCGTTTTTATTCTTAAATTTCAATCTTAATCATTCTTATATCATCCTCCAATCTTTTTATTTCTAGTTCTCCAGATTTTAAGATGTTATCTTAAATGTTACATTTTTCATACATAATGCATAACTCATCATTTCTATCAATCAATACTATGCCTGTATGATTTCTTGATTCACATACTTACTCATATTATTTTCTTAAGTTCAACATATCTTTTTCTAATGAAGATATGATCATATTTAATTTCTATATTTCATTAATATTTTAATCAATGATTTCTTTTTTGGCTTTCCTTTAATATTCCAATTTATTTAATTTTGCATGACTTCTATCTTTCTTATGTACTTCAACCTATAAACAATGTCTATATTCTAATAATGTTCTTTCCTTTTCTTGAGATTCATTTTTTAAAATTTCTAATTCATTTTACAATATCTTGATTCTTTCTTTTAATTCTGCTAAATCTTGAGAACTATTCTGGATCATATTCACATATTTATTTCTTGCCTATTTGACTTCTTCATATAATGATTTATAATTATGTTCTTTTGCTTCTGTTTCTTATGCTTTTTTTTAAAGATCCATAATCAATAGTTCTTTAATTTTGAGTTCTTCTCTTGTTTCTCTTACTTCTGCCAATGCACTTGAAGCTTTTCTAGCCATACTTTCTCTAGTTGCTGTCAAAGCCTTAACTCTCTTTAACCCTTCAGCCTCAAAGTTTTGTAATTCAATCATTTATTTTTCAAATTTCTTAATTTCATTATCTACTTTAGTTTATTCCTGCATTTTTTCTTCTGCTTTGTCTTTTACTTTTCTTACTCTTCCTTCTAGCATAGTGTATTCTTCAGCAATATTCTCTCCAATTTCATTTTGTTTTTCAATTTCATACTTTAAATTTACTATTTCTTTTTTAATATTTTCTAAAATCATCTTTTATTCATGCAGAGTATCATTAATTTGCTGCATTTAGGTTTATTATTTCTTTAATTCCTTTTTATCAAGATCGATTGCCTTTTTTAAAGAACTGACTGTATCTCTATGTCTTCTTATTTCTAACTAACAATTTCTAATTTCAATATCATTAGCCACTTTTTAACTACTTAAATCACTTATTTCTTCTTTGAGTTTTGCTGAAAGATCATTTTAAATGGCTTGGTCTCTCTAGTTAGTTTCTGTGGCTTTTTTTTCTTCATCTATTTAAGCTTCATATTCTAATAATTTAGTTTGTAGCTTTTTAAATTCCATATTTAAATCATCAATCTATTTATTTTTTTTACCTATATCATCTTTGTAACCTTACAAATCCTTCAACATAATTTTGTTAGCACTTTTCAACATTTCTGCATTCTTACTAAAACGATTTGGATCATCCTTTATTTTAATATATTCATCATTCAATTTACTTATTTTGTTGAGTTTCTCATCATTTTCTATCTTCAATTGCTCAATCTTTTCTGTTTTCTCATCTATACTTTTTTATTCACTCTCAATTTTTTGTTTATACTCTAATAATAAATCCTTCTCTCTTTCTATTTCAGCATCTTTTTAGAGCATCTCAGGCAATGCCTTACTCTTAGCCATTTTCTCTTATTCAGATATTCTAGTTAAAATTATAGATTTCTCATGTTCTACTTCTTCACATTAAAATTATTTGGCATCAATCAATTATTCCATCATTTCATATTCTGCCTCTGTCTTTTTTAAACTCGCATTTAAATTCTACGCCTTCTCTTGTGCATTAGCCTAGGAGATTTATTTTCAAACTTAATACTTGATCATTTATAGCGGTTTCGAGATTTTATTTCTCAGTCGCAAATTACGTTTTCAATTTTTTTGATTTTTCCCATAAAAAGTGATGATTCTTAAAGGTTTAGACAACAGTGTCATGGAGTTTATGAAACTTTTACTTATATGAATCACATTGCTCTTAATTGATTTTTCCTTGTCTATGATATATGGTGGGAATAAAACTTAAAAAGATCTGTGAGCATACTAAGGGCAACATTACTCTATAAATCCCTTATTTCATCGGGTACTTCTGCCATTATTAACTTAAAATAAATAATAAATTTATATATAATGAAAGCATCAAAATACTAAGTCGAGAATAGAGACTATAACATCATCACCTGTGTGGATTTCAATAGACAACCATAATCATTACCTCCCTTGAGAAAATTGGGTTAACAATAGGATCACCCTTTTCCAAGAAAAGCAAAATTCGAGATGGCTCAAGAATAAGTATAAATGCAACAGACAGTATCCTCCAAAGCAAACAGTTCCCAATAAGACATCAAATAAGCACAACCAGGGTCAATGATGAATGTATCATCGGTCAAATTTGATTTTATTGCCTTTACTCAAGGAAAACAATAGCCATTTCATGATCTAAAGTAGGAATTGAAGATCTTGCACAAGAAAAAAGTATTGATATGCATTGATAACCAAGGGTGGAATGGGGGAAATAGCTGATTTGGGTGGTCTGTGTTACCCAAATTTCAATAGGGAATATTAAGATAAATTCAAGGAAAATTAAACGATATTTAGAAAACAAAAGGGAGATTATCCTGCCGTCACAGATCCCAAATTCTCGTATGGTCCTTTTATGAAACCCTTTAAAAAGTTCAAGTTTTGATATTTCCTTATATAATTTTTAATATTAATAATTAAATGGAAACCTAAATTTTGAGATAATATTTAAGTTCAAATGAGACTTACTCAAAAACAGAAGAAGTCAAACTCAAAATCTTATATTCTGATATGTGACATTTTCATCTTAAATTTAGTTAATTTATAAAACAGATTCAACTTTCTATAGTCACAATTATCAAAGATCAATTTGAAAGTCCGAACACAAAGCTGATGGCTTTAAAAGTATGACTCCCTCAAAAATTAGCTTAATAAAGAGCTTGTCGAAACTTTCAATAGCAGTTACATTTACACACTCCAGAAAACATTATTGCCTCTACTCGAAGAAATAGCTAAATATAAATATACCTCTGATGATCCAGATCGAGGAGTCACCTATTTTTTAAATGGTGAAAATCCAAATTCAGGTACCCATTCTAAACTTAGTAATGTTAGATAATAGAGATTTACAAAATACTGGAGAATAATTTGTTCGAGTTGTACTGGAATGTATAAGAGTTTGGAGTAGATGGTTCCCTCTAGACTATCAATCGTACTACTTAAGCTCTTTTAAGATAACCTACGAAAAGTTAGTAAAGTTGGGGGTTAAATTTCCCAAGATCATTTATTTTGATAGCATAGAATAAAATATACCTCGTTAATTAATACCCTTATCCATGATTATTTAATTACGAGAATTACTCAAAAACTAACTTAATCTTTCAACTAAATAAATAAGAAACTATCTAGCCATGAATCCTGCTCACTTTTTTTATTAACACAAATATAATACATTTGGAGATTTTTTTCATTAAATTAAAAACAAAAATCCCATCCAAAAGAAAAAGGTCCTTAGAAAGGCTACTTTCTTATTGGAAAAAGAATTTGAAAATCTAGAGACTTTGAAAAAGGATTCCTCATATAATCCTATCTCCTCAGAGACTTTGCAGATTGAAAATCTTTGTTTGCAAAATTTATATAATGCTTTTTCAATCAAAGTACCAGACTTACAAGCTCAAGTCATTAAATTGTAGAATAAAGTGGCTAGTTTAGAAAAATAACTCTTGGATAGAGAATAAAAAATAAATTAACTTTAAAATGAATTATAACAATTGTAAAAACAGTTTTCCACCAATATTAATTAATTTCTAACCTCCAACAATTTAACTAATAGCGAATTATTTGAAACGGATGTAAATTAATTCTTATAATTAGGTAACAAAATTAAAATTACATTACGGAATTTATGATCAAAGTTATGAAATAGAGAAGTTGAAGACACACCTTTATAAGTCTGAATTCAAAATAGAAGAATTAACTGAAGAATTAGATCAAACTATTAGAAAGAAGAATTAACTTTTTGATGAAAACAAAGCTCTAAGTTAAACAATATTAGTTTTAGAAAGAAGACTATTATAAAATAATAAGCAACCTTTAAAATCTTTATCAACTCAATAATGTCTAAGTGAGTATCGACAAAATACTATGACAAACATAAGCTAACCAAGCACAATTGTTTAAAAAAAATAAAAGAGCTCAGAATTCTAAAACTCCTTATTTTTATCATTAAGACAACAAATTCTAGGATAATAATTGTATATTAAGACACTTTAAAGCCAATTAATTAAGTTTGATAAATTTTTATTGCACTCTGGTCACACTAATTCTATACTCTCTTATCATACTGCATCTACCTAATACAAAGGTAAATTCTAAATCTAAAATTTAAGTCCCTATGTTCTCTCCATAATCTGTATCTTAACCTAAATCAAGAGGATCAAAAGAAATAGCTTCTCCCTTTGTAGATTACGATGGCAAGATATTTGCAATTATTCCAGATGCCTTTACTGTTAAATTTAGGTAATCTTGTTTGCTTAAAAAAACAATTTTGCATTCTGACGACAATCTTTAAATTGGAGTGCAAACAAGTTTATAATCCAATAACTAGCTATTAATTAATTTAGTCTTTCACAACAGAACCTAAGAGTAGTTAAACAATTTATGTGTTTCATATTAAAAGTCTTAGAATCTATCCTATTAGATTTATCCTCTTAATATTCAATAATCCATGAAAGTAAATGATTAAGTATCCTAAAAAATATTTATTTCGTTTGAATAACTTCCTTATTAATTGTTAGAATTTTCAATAAAGTATACGAAATAACAATAAGAGCATAACCTCAAGGCTTGTCTTCCTTGTTCAATCAATAAGTTTTTCACTTTTTTAGATGTTCCATAAGAGACTCCAAAATCTTATTTTTATAATAGTAAAATCTTTCAAACAAGCTTTTAAAATCAAATTGGGTAATTGCTTCCTGAATTTTAAATTAATTAAATAAACGAGTAATTTGTTGAAGCTTTAGCAAGGATTCAAATCGAAAAATCAATATTTTTAATTTCAATCTCCTCTAAAAATCATCAGATGTAAATTAAGTTGAATGGAAATTATTAAGATAAATTAGTGGAATGCATAGTGTCAACCTATTAAGGGTTATTTATGAAGCGATGAAATAAATTGAATATAATTATTAAAATTAGAGAATATAATTATTAAATGCAAGAGCTCTAGATAGGACTAGTCTTATTTGTTTCATGTTTATCCTTTTTCCTTCTAGGTTATTAATGGGCAATATCAAATTAGAAATCATATTATGATAGTGTATAATTTTCAATATCGTTTTTAGCTTGGATCTGAAGATGATGAATGTAAAGTATAAGTTATTTTCTTTAGAAAAACTTGAATAATAATTGAATGAATATAAGATAAAAGAGGAATAATACGTCAAATAAATATAAGATCTAAAAAAATAATTGGGGACGGCACCTAATAGTAAGAATACAGATATTTGATTCTTAATAAATTAATTGTGAGACATGTGTAGAATAAATTTATAATAATTATGTAATCATTTTGTATTCTAAAATTAATATGATTCTTCTAGTATTTATATAAGCTCCTTAGTCCAATGTTAGGATATATTTGGTAATGAAATAAATTACATTAATAAAATATAAATATAAATGGCACAAGAAGCTAATTATGGTGACGTAAATATGATTTATAATCCTAGATTATACTCTTATGTGGAGATCTACACATAGGCACAAGAATGTAGAAGATTCATGAAAAAATTGTGAGTGCTTTAGGAGTAAATAAATTATAACATGTACTTTGCACAGGGAATGTCGGAAATAAAGAGACTTTTGATTGGTTAAAGTAAATTTCCCCCGATTTTCATTGCGTTAGAGGCTAATATGATGACGTATCTATCTTTCTCAATATAAGGAAAACAATGAAATCCATAATGATCAAAAAGTAATTCAAATAGGAATATGGAAAATTTTATTGATTCATGGACATTAATTTGTGCCTTGGAATGATGAAGAAACAATTAGTGTCTTCTTAAAAGAAAATTCATGTGATATTGCAGTTTTTGGAAACTCTCATTAATCTTTAATAAGCAAATTCGAAAGAAAATATTTTATAAATCCTGGGACAATGAGTGGGGCTTACGGGTCAATTAAATAGTTAAAATCTTATTTATCATTAGAGATGCAGTTATTTTACCTGAATTTGTTATTCTAGAGTGTTTGGGTGATGAAATTGGAGTTTACAAATACAAGTTAGTCAATGGAGAATTACTAATAGAAAAATGTACAATTACAAAATGAACAAATATTTATATTTTAATTATTTATTTGGAGTTATATTTCATGTCAAAAGTTTCATATATATATACTATTAAAATCATGGAGCTCTGTTTTTGATTTCTTTAGCAGCTTGTAAAAATTATAGATATGTTTCAGTCTTTGAAAAGAACTATAAATAGTAGAAGAATGAGAATTACAAAAATCACAAAGTTGATATTGGATTTCCTTTAAAGAATTGCAATACAAAATTATTATATTAAATTTATGAAACAAAGCGAACAGGTTGTTCTTGCATCCTAATAGCCTGGATTGATAGATACGTCAACTAAAAGATTGATATCCAAATCCTCTACTTAATTTTAATCACCCTCTTTTTAATAACCAGTTGTTACAAGACGTATACATAGGAAATTAGTGCCAATGGATGGTGGTATAAGATACTCAATTATATTTAGAGGCCGAGGAAACTGTTGTTTAACCTATTCAACCTCCTCCCTAACCAATTGTCCATCCTGTTCAATAAATGATTTGGCCAGTTGCAGTTTAATTTAATGAAGATGATGCATTAGCAAAAATTAGAGAAGAAAAAATGTTGGGACTTCTTGAGAGACAGTCTGAAATGCTTACAAATTTACTATAGAAGTATAAAAGATTGGAAGAGGAATAAACAAATAAAATATAAAGGAGAATAAAAGAACTGGAAAGAGAAAATGAAGAAATTTGGTAAAGGAGAAGATAGAATTATTTGATATACAATGTTTCTTAATCAGTAGACTAAAAATTAAAGGAATTTAATGAATTCCAGATGCGTCCATTTTTGGACTAAGGTTAACCGGTTCTTTTAAAGCCGATTCATTAGGATGATAGACTATTTTTTGATAAGAAAAAGAAGAAGCCAAAGGCTAAAAAGGTAGTTGAAGTAGATGATGGTCTGGTCCAAGACCCAGATACAGGAGAATTATGGGATCCAAAAACTGGAGAAGTTGTACAACAACCCCTTCCTTATTAACCATAATGATTATAATTCATTGTTATTATTTTTAATACTATTTATCACTTCTTATAAGTGTTTAAATCAGATCAATAGAAATATTCCATATAATTTAAATAGTCTAATTGATACATTTTTATATAGGTATTGATAACGATTATTTAGTATCAGGAATTTATTAAGAATCGAATTTAAATAGAATATTAAGTGTATAAGTTAAAATTTTCATCTATTTGAATTAGATATTACTATAAATTATGGGTTAACATGTATCTCGGATAAATAATGAGTGAGCATATGATTTATTGAATACCATGATAAGCATCATAATAGAAAGTAGGAAAATTACTAGTTATTTTTAAGTATTTTTATATATATAAAATTATAAAATAATTAATATTTAGCATTTAAATTAAAATAACAGAAATCCTAATCATACAATTTAATAAATAAATATTTTTTAATTATACATATTCCTAATATAACCTCTATTTTTAATAATTTATCGGCCTGTCTTTGTGACATTCTTTTTCATTGAACTTAGAACTACTGATTTGAAGCAAATAACAAGTATTGTTTTACCAGTTTTTTACTAACTATGCTAAATAAAGTTTGTTTGAGATTATAAAATTTTGATATGAATAAACCTAACTTATATTCTGTTGAAGTGATGTATTTTGTTGAATTTTGTCGAATTATTCAGCCTTGTCAATATTGTCTTGTTGAGAAATAGATAAAATTATAATTATAAAGTAAATGTAAAGATAGTTATCAAATTTACTCAGGAAATAGAATCACTATCTGAAGAGACTTCTGCTATTATATCATCATATATGTATTTTTCTGTTTCATCAGTAATAACACGCATTTATTTGTTTTTCAAATATTTAGGTTTTCTTTGCCTAATAGATTTGATATATAATTTAATTTCAGCTACGATTTTCTCAAACTTTTCATTTTCTTCTGATTTATAAATGGTATCAAGGGTTTGCACAAACTTTGAATCATGATTAATTATTATATCTAAAAATATATGATGAATTGAGACTTTTTAAATTTTCCTTTTCATTGGTTGTGATAATCTAATTGGCAGACATCTGTTGGACTATCTTAAACACGTCATAGTAAAATTATTATTACAACATTTTATAATAAAAACAATCATTTATATTAAATACTTAATGGTCCAAACCTTTCATCATTTAACTCAGTAATATTCACATTCCTTAATGATTGAGCATCACTAAGTAAATTATAAAATTATGCTGTCATGCCATAATTTAATTTCTCTTGAAAAGTGAAATTGTAATATAATTCTAATAAAGCAATTCTTCTTAATCTCTTCTGATTGCTATAATCCTACTAATCCATTTCACTTTAATCATTCATTAAGTTTTCAACGCAAGTTCCTACTTTAATGCATGATTTAACAGAAACATTTCATTAATTATTTCCTCTATGATAATAATTTCAGAAGATATCCTCTTGGTTCCGAGCGTTTTACTTTATAATCATAAATAAGATATGATTCTAGTTTTTACAATAATCAGGATTTTGAATATTCATTAAATAGAATTAACTCCTATAATTCTGAATATTTTGTGTTTTGATTGGTTGATTTATCTAGCATATAATTTCTATTTCGTGTTTGATTTGATCTAAAAATCGTAATTACTCTCACTTTTAGCATCCATAGAGATGTTGAATTATTATTTCTTTTTACTAACTAAAACTATAACCCCAATAGTCTCTAAATTTACATTTTTGCTTCCCTTTAAAACATATTTTCCTTCTATAATGTAGTTATTGCATAAAACCTGAATTTTTAAGCAAATTTATTTTAATTTTGAACAACAATCTCCTCTATATTCATAATATATTATTAGGAATGATAGGGAATTTATTAAATATAAATCAATAAGAAAGACTCTTCATTCGGTAACTAAGAATCTAAAATATTAATTAATAATATATACTTTAAGGTTATGAACATAACCATCCTTTTTGAAATACATTTCTAACTTTAAAATTGATGAATTATCAATTAAGCTTGTTTCTTAATTATTCAAATTACTAATAATGGCTTTCCTAAGGTTTTGTTATAAGGATCTGAAAATTTTCAATAATAAAAAGTAGGAATAAGGATTTCGGTAGTGATTTTATTCACTAAATTATAGCTAATTCATGCTATGTAATATATTGAAATAATATTCAATATATATAGATTAAATAAAATAAATGATTGGCAGATAAATCTTTCGTGCATTTTCATCAACCACAGCTCCATATGTGTGGGTCAATAAGCACACCAAAGTCATATGCTAAGGTATCACTGGTAATTAGGTATACAGTTTATTCTTAAACTAGGGCACATTCTAAACTGAATAAGCATTGAACTACTTTACGAAAATGGTTGGTGGAGTGTCACCTAAGAGTAATTATCTATCCTATAAACTTAGAGGCTGGAAGTACTCATCTTGGCTTACCTGTTTTCAAGAATTGCCAAGAAGCCAAATCAGTCACAGGATGTGATGCATCTGTAATCTATGTGCCACCTCCCACAGCTGCTTCAGCCATTATTGAAGCTATTGATGCATAAATTGGATTAGTGGTATCATACTTTATTAAAATGAAAAGGTTGTCATTACTGATGGAATTCCTTAACATGATATGATTAAAGTTAAGCATGCACTAAGATCCTAATCAGTTACACGTGTTATTGGAGTATCAAATTAATAAAATAATATAGCCTAATTGCCCAGGAATTATCAAGCCAAATGAATGTAAAATTGGTATCATGCCAGGATACATTCATTAAAATGGAAAAATTGGTATTGTCTCTAGATCTGGTACCCTTACATATGAGG